TGTTTGATCTAACTGTCCAAATTCACTATTGAATCTAACAAACAATATTGATCTAAGATCTATTCAATTAAAGAATATTTAATTAAAAGTGCAAAAACAAACCAAAAACAAACCACACAATATTATCTATAGTAGATATTTTTATTTTAGATATTATTATTCAAAAATAGAATAATTCACACGGTTTAACCAAATGGATATTCAACACAATTAATCACAATATGTCGTGTTTTGTTTTGTCAAATTTTCAAGCTTTAAAAGAATTTACACACATAGTAGTAATGGTTTGGTGCAATGTGTTAACGACAAAGTCGACACTACAATATCAATAGAAATGGAAAAAATTTTAGAGACGATAAAATCTTACTTGATTATTACGATATAAAATTGGATCTAATTACTAATTCAATTGTTTTTTTTGTTAATTGAATTGTAAATAAAGTTATTGTCAATGTTATTAATAAAAACAAAATTAGTGCCAACAATTGGAAAAGAAAAAAATATATTATTTCATATAAATAAAATTGAACTCAAATTCAAATTGAACATCATTAGCAATTTTTAATCACGAAATAATATTTTTTTAATTTATTTGATTTCTAAAAAATATTTCGCAGCGTTATGCGCCGGAGAGTCACCTAGTTCACAGATAAGACATAAGTATTCTCCAGCACAAAACCTGAAGAAATCAGAGAATCAACAGTCCTATTGTTGCAAATATACGATCAAGGCAACAGAAAATACCAAATCATAAAGAAAGATTTTAACATTTCTGCAGCACTAAAATTAAAAAAAAAAAAAAACATTTCTGCAGCCAAGTTTTTCCATCAAGTACCTTAAGCTAGAAGAACCAAAAAAACAAAACTGGATATCTTCTTAGATGGAAACAATCATAAGAAACAAAAGTTAGCATGCAAGAATATTGATGTGTTAAATTCGAAATTGATCATAAAATATATTTTTACTCAACTAGTTTCATACCAAAGTGATTACAATTGACTATATCACCTTTTTTCCTAACTACATGTAATTATGCACAAACGTAATGTTTAAGAAGTGTATTTTAATCAACCGAGCTAAACAACAACAATCACAAAGATTAAAACTAGGTAAAACTTGACCTAACTCTGTTTTCTTGCGTCACAAGGAATCAAAACTAACTCTGTTTCCTCTTAAAATCAATCCTCCTCTCTTCTTTTAGTTCCGAGTTCTCGTAATGACTCTTCAACTCCATGGGGTTCGTCAAAATTAACAGTTTGTTGCATCTGAATGAGAAGATTCTTGTCAGATTTCAAAAACCAAATTGGAGATAACAATGTTGATGATTCACTCAAATTCAACACACCTGATCAAGTCTCATACGAGATTCCCTCCTCTGCCTGTCAATCTCTCTCAGTCTCTCTTCCTCTAGATTCTGCTGATCACGAGCACGTATAAGTAAAATCAAATGAGCATTCACAAGTAAACCTCTGTTTCATCACTCACTAGTAGAGAAGAGAATTATGTCATGTTTTCAGTATCTTTAC